TTTTCCTGGAACAGGTTGAGTAGATAAAGCCTAATGCTCAACTCATATCTACAAACATCAGTGTATTATAAGTACCAAAATTTTGTGTTTTTTATACATTTTATATTGTGGTTTATATTTTATGTAATCGTATTGGTAATGTTGTTCTGCCATTTGCCCTTATATGCATGTATCACTAGAGCATTCTATTGGGAATAATTGGATACCTAAATCAGCGCTGTAACACAAGATGTCATGTTATCAACAGGAATAAATACTAAACTTTTACGAGCAGGATATGGGGGTGTAGCGGGTGGGCCCGTGGGTCTTCGCTCACAGGTACCGCATGGGATGCATTCAATTTGGCTGCGGGTGGGGTGCACCACGGTTTGGGACATTATATGCATATACGCATGTAGGGAATTCTATTATGAATACATTGATACCAAAATCAAACACCTAGGACAAGAACTGATGTGACCACAGTGAAAAGAGTATACACATTTTATTGCTTTTGTGCGCTCACGAGTAACGAATGGCCTATTACTCAGTTTGTTGTGGGTGGTACGCTGGGCATTGGACTTTGTATGAATATACTCCTGTAGGGAATTCTATTGTGAACACATTGATACCAAAATCACACACCTAGGACAAAAATTGAGGTGACCATAGTGAAAAAGAATACAGTATACACATTTCAGTACTACCGGGCATTCACGGGGAATGCCCAGACCACCTTGGAGTGGCATGATGCTCACTCGCCCAAAATGCAAAAATGTTAATGACAATGTGATGTCTAGCAACAGAAACTTGTTAAAAAAAAATAAGCTAAAACAAATGTCTTTAGACAGATTCTTAGCAAGTTAAACAATCAGTGAGCCACAACCAGGTCCTAGTGGTATGCCTACAAAACAAAGGAGAGTGTACTCCAGAAATGTCATCACTGTTGGTGTTATAATGGAAGGGAACTGCCCCTTCCAAACACCAACACCTCTCCTCCTCACTGTCTTCCATATGACAGAGTCCTCAATAGAGTATTCAGTATTTAAGTTAATATCTTTGGGTATGTATTCAATTATATATTCAATTTACATTACAGTACATATTTCTTATGGTAAAATTTGATTCGTGTACAAATATTCGGGTTACGTTGCATTTTTTGAAACATTACATTCATATACCAAGGTTCCAATGTATAAGTGGAATAATGAGTAAGTATCTACTGTATTGGCAATCCCCTGTGGCACAGTGGTAAAGCCCTCGCCCAGCACTTCATGAGCTTTGGCGTGCATTCATATCCTAGCCGGGGAGGATTGACCGAGCGCCAATCTTTAACTGTAGCCTCTGTTTTCCCAGCAGTGAATCTTTCCTGGTCATTCAACGATTAGACTGGTCGTATTCCGGGAAAAATCAAGATTAAGGACATGCCTGAAACGCTATGCGTCCTAGTGGCTTTACAAGAATGTAAGAACTCTTGTATAAATAAAATAAAATAGTAGTAATAGAAGTATTCCTGCACATAAAACTACACATGCTGTTAAATTAAACCACCTGCACAACCCTTGGCTGGAAAGCTGAGAGCTGGAAACAAACCTCTCCTAGCCAGGAATCAATATGCAGGTTATGAGTCACAATAACGTGGCTGAAGTATGTTGACCAGACCACACACTAGCAAGTAAAGGGACGACGACGTTTCGGTCCGTCCTGGACCATCCTCAAGTCGATCACGCAATCGACTTGAGAATGGTCCAGGACGGACTGAAACGTCATCGTCCCTTCACTTTCTAGTGTGGTCTGGTCAACATGCCACATTATTGTGACTCATCGCCTGCATACCCAATAGAAGCCAGAACCCAGGGATAGTGAAGCACCACTTGAGTAAATCAAATGCTGAACCTTGGTGCCAAGTTTAGCTCAAACAGACTAGTCAAAAATTGGTAGATATGGCCTCGTACAGCCAATACTGTACATGAATTGTGGGCGAATCAGAAAATGCACCCGTCCCATTACTCCAGGAAAATCAGTACACTCGAAGCCATATTGCAAACCTAGTAAAGCATTGTCACCAGAACAGGACAATGAATGTAAGCACAAAGACAGGCAAGATCGAGGATCAAGAAACTGAAATAGTCTCTCTTGTCCAACAATCTACAAATGAGGATAGCATAAAGGGCTGGAAAGGCACCAAAGGAACCTGGCAAGGAAAGAAATTGGCTCATTCAAAAGGCCTAACACCCTTTGAAACACTCCAAAAGGCCTCCCCACAACAGTCGCCGTCACAAAAGGTGCCAACAGAAGTTCATTCAACCTATATACCTAAGTTAATGGTAGAGGAATATCAACCTTAAAGAGGAAGAGTGAAACTAAAGCTCAACAAGTATTGTAGCCAAAAGAAGATCCAGACCCCAAGAGCTTCACATGACAAACTACTAAATCAAGCCCTCTTTTTAATTAATATTTTTCTAATTTTGCATAATAAATTAAATATATTTTATTAACTCATTTAGAAAACAAGGGCTTAAATCAAATTTAAGGGACGAAAATTTCAATTGTTAGTAAAATAGTCAATAGGTGTAAATTGAAATGTAAACCTAAAGGCCACAGAGGAATAGCATAACACTGAGATAATGTATTGACCCCTTCAACATCTGATTTGGGGACTTTTGGGGGCCATTTCCCTTATGGCCAGATATCAGTGCCACTTGTGATATCTGGCTTGTTCCTTGTTAACCAATGACCATTAAGGTCTAATATTAATGTTCCACACAATATTGGAATATAACCCAACTGTCAGTTGGGTTAACCCACTGACAGGATTCCAAAAACATGATTGTGATTGAACACAATAATGTTCAAACAGACAAGCGTTCTGTTTTCGTTTCCGTCTGTTCCCAAATAAAATTCTTTCATTTCCGTTGTTCCCAAATAAAATTCTTTAAAACATCTTGGTAGATAACAAAAAAAAAAGTTATAATGCTGTAAATGCTTCACCCACATACTTCAAATACAAATAATTGCCAACATGTTAATTAATGAATAAAAATGTTAATTTATATAAAACAAACGTATTTTTAGAACAAATCCACAAGGACCGTGACAAGGATTCGAACCTGCGTCCAGGATGCTCCCTGACGCAGGTTCGAATCCTCGTCACGGCCCTTGTGGATTTGTTCATTTGATGCATCACGTTAGTGTGATTTGTGTGTGTAAACCTATTTTTAATACCCAAATAATGCATTCCCCCCCTTCAAGACTTAACCAATAAAATTGATGAATGCATTTTGGGGGACAGTCGCTGCATTAATAAGCCTGATCTGAGAATGGGTTGTTCTCAGTTTGGGCACTTTTTTTCCCCAACATGGTTCAACATTTTTGGAATCCTATACAGGGGTTAACCCAACTGACATCTGGGTCAGATTCCAATATTGTGCAAAACATTAATATGCAGGGAAGAATAGTGAGTTGGGATGTGTTGATGGTATTTTGCAATTGATTTGGAGCTGCTATAATTTTTTCGGGGTCCAGATACTGTACCAGAGTACAATGTAAGAGTCTCATGGCACAGGTGTCTGACCACATTGTTTATTACCCATAATGCACCTTCCTTGGTGACATGTCATTCTATAATGTGTCTAGAATAAGGACCATACATCCTCCTGCAAACAAAATTTTTTAATATACAACCCCCTTTGCATTTAACCCAAAAAAATAAGAAATTACTATATTCAAAAGCAGCAAACCATCATGACAAACCAAAATTTCAATTCTTAATTCTAATGTTCACATTAGATTCTTTTTATGTTTGAAGAAGTTATTGGAATACATTCAGAGTTAGTATTTTGATTACATTTTTCTATCCAGCAACGAAGGTAGACAATATATATTTTTTTTCTTGCCTAGGTGATTGTGCACCAGCACTCAAGTTATGGGTATCCTTACCCTATATTAGACGTCTAGGCCTCCACGGCTACTTCACGAGCAAAAAACACCATGAGCCGAGGAGACGGACATTTAGAACGGATCCCTTCCAGGATGCCATCTGAGAATACTGTATCTGTGAATATATATACAAGAGGTCTATTCCTTTCAATAAAATAAAGGTTATCTTGAGGTTATCTAGAGATGGTTTCGGGGCTTAATGTCCCACAGCCTTGTCCTCGACCAGGCCTCCACCCCCAGGGAGCAGGTACCTAGGTACCCAGGTACCTATTTACTGCTAGGTAACAGGGGCATCAGGGTGAAAGCAGCATTTTGCCCATTTGTCTCCGCCCTCCACCAGGGATCGATCCGGGTTCGAATCAAACCCGGAACCTCAGGACTTCGAATCTGAAGCGATGTCAAATCAGCTGTCGGCCGCCCTAGCTTATATAAATAAGAGTGATTATACTGCTCCCAGAGTAGTAACCCTAATGCTACAGGCTTCAACCACTACCGTTATTTGCACACAAGGTGAAGGGACGACGACATTTCGGTCCGTCCTGGACCATTCTCAAGTCACAATCGACTTGAGAATGGTCCAGGACGGACCGAAACGTCATCGTCCCTTCTTCTAGTGTGTGGTCTGATCAACATACTTTAGCCACGTTACTGCGACTCATGGCCTACATTTGCACACAACTCTCGCTCTCTTTCAAAAATCTAAAATAAAAACAGCGGTGGCATTCACGTTATACAGATACAGGTTACTTCATCAATAAGATACGGCACCTAGTCTTGTGCCACCACAACCCCCTCCCCCCAATTTCCCTACCATCTAACAACCCTAAACAAACTGAAGTGAACATTGAACACGGTTGTTAAAATATCACAAGTCGCCATTAGCTGTCCATAACAGTTTCTTCAGCGTGTATTACCCCCCTTCCCCCTCCCTCCCCACCCCCTCTCCGAGGCCTCCTAGCAGGCCTATGCCAGCCTCGAGTTCACACCTCCGCGGGAGGCAACAAAAACACGCAAGGCCAAACATCTGAAAAGGATACAAGGGAAAAAGTTTGCGCGTGAGGAGGCATTAGAGGGTGTCTGACCTGGGTGAAGTCCTGCTCCACGTCTCCGTAGAGATCAATATCAACGTCGGCCATGTTATGCGAATTGAAGGAGGAGGAGGACGCGGGAGTGACGCTGCCCACAGCCTCTCCGTCTCTCGTCTCTCTCTCACACCTGTAACGACACGCCGTATCAACCTCCCTCGCCGTCTTCGCCACACTCCCAGCTAGCTACAGTGATGCCCGTCAGCCCCCCCAATACCCATATTTATACTTAACTTTGCGGTTGTTGAGGTGAGACGGTTCTCCCCCCGGGCGGCGACAAATGGCGTCCAGGGTTTGTGGCGCGAGCGGCCGCGGGCACACTAGTACTCTTTTGCTCAGCATCACCGGCAATTCATGGAGTCATTGATGTTCATGAAAGTACAATGATTTGTGTAATCATTTCAATGTGTTTGAATCTAATACATTTTTAATTAGAGCCACAACTAGTGTGTTTCGTTATATAATTAGATTTTGTACTAATTTCGTATCAAGAAGAAATAATGTATACAGAAGCTTCTTGTATACAAAATTAGACATATACATATACACTAAAAATTAGGTGAACATATACTGCTAGGAAAATACAACTTAAGTTTAATACATACACAGCATTTAATCGAATCCTAGTTGTCGATCTCCATTCTTAGATTAGGAGAATTTACACCCCTATGTACAGAGAGAAGAATTATTAAACTGATTATCGAGGTTCCTCTAATCAAGATCAGGGCTATGTCTGCACGGTTACCCATCCAGGTATTAACCAGATCCAAGTGCCTTAACCTGATTGAGCTAGAGACGCACATTTCCCGCTAGCATCACCCTTGAAATATTTATCTCCGCAGTCTCTGTTCTATAAGCACGCTCCACGCTTATATAAATAATAAGTTTTTTGTATATATATATATATATATATATATATATATATATATATATATATATATTGGCCGCATTAATTGGCTGCCAATTAATGCACAACTATATAATCTACCCACTTCAAGACTCCGAACCAATATAGAAGCATCAAGAGGAACCATTATGGGCCAATAGGCCTTCTGCAGTTACTTCCATTCTTATGATTTTATACCCATTGGTTCGTGTTCTATCTCCCTATCTAGCTCCCCCACCTCTCATTAGTCTAATGGCAGAGGCTACATTTATCTCTGAAATTCTATCCCCAATACTCTTCAGATTCAACTCCATCCTCATTATCTCAATCATAACATTTCTTGGGCATCCTAAGATAATTCTCATGCTTCATTTTGTACCTTCTGCAACTTGCCCAGTCTAACTTTACCAAAACAAGAAATGATAGGTGCAGCATAATCAACAAGAGATCTTACAGTACTCAAGTATATCATTTGTAGCACAGGGACTCCCTTTCCACAGCATGCCAAGGCCTTCAGAGGGTTGTAATCTCTTCCGACACTGACCCAACAGTCTGTTCATCTCAGCTTCCAAACTCTCATGGGTTTAACATAAGAACAAAGGTAACTGCAGAAGGCCTATTGGCCCATACGAGGCAGCTTCTATCTATAACCACCCAATCCCACTCATATACATGTCCAACCCGCGCTTGAAACAATCGAGGGACCCCATCTCCACCACGTTACGCGGCAATTGGTTCCACAAATCAACAACCCTGTTACTGAACCAGTATTTACCCAAGTCTTTCCTAAATCTAAACTTATCCAATTTATACCCATTGTTTCGTGTTCTGTCTTGTTGATAATTTTAATACCCTATTAATATCCCCTTTGTTATGTCCATTCATCCACTTGTAAACCTCTATCATGTCACCCCTAACTCTTCGCCTTTCCAGTGAATGCAACTTAAGCTTTGTTAATCTTTCTTCATATGAAAGATTTCTAATTTGGGGAATTAACTTAGTCATCCTACGCTGGACACGTTCAAGTGAATTTATATCCATTCTATAGTACGGCGACCAAAACTGAACTGCATAATCTAAATGGGGCCTAACCAGAGCAAGATATAGCTTAAGAACCACACCAGGTGTCTTGTTACTAACGCTTCGATTAATAAATCCCAGTGTCCTATTCGCCTTATTACGAACATTCATGCATTGATCCTTTTGTTTTAAATTTTTACTAATCATAACTCCCAGATCCTTTTCGCAATCCGACTTCGCAATCTCAACACCATCTAGCTCGTATCTTGTAACTATCATCATTACCTAGCCTCAAAACTTGACATTTATCAGCATTAAACTGCATCTGCCAGTCTTTTGACCATTTTAAAACCCTATTTAGATCAACTTGAAGTGATAGCGAGTCTTCTTTCGTTTTAATTTCCCTACCGATTTTTGTATCATCTGCAAATTTGCAGATGTTGCTACTCAAACCTGAATCTAAATCATTTATATATATTATAAACAACAGAGGTCCCAGGACAGAGCCCTGAGGTACTCCACTAACAACATTATCCCACTCTGACTTAACCCCATTTAAGAACATAAGAACAAAGGTAACTGCAGAAGGCCTATTGGCCCATACGAGGCAGCTCCTATTCTATAACCACCCAATCCCACTCATATACTTGTCCAACCCGTGCTTGAAACAATCGAGGGACCCCACCTCCACAATGTTACGCGGCAATTGGTTCCACAAATCAACAACCCTGTTACTGAACCAGTATTTACCCAAGTCTTTCCTAAATCTAAACTTATCCAATTTATATCCATTGTTTCGTGTTCTGTCCTGTGTTGATACTTTTAATACCCTATTAATATCCCCCCGGTTATGTCCATTCATCCACTTGTAAACCTCTATCATGTCACCCCTAACTCTTCGCCTTTCCAGTGAATGCAACTTAAGCTTTGTTAATCTTTCTTCATATGAAAGATTTCTAATTTGGGGAATTAATTTGGGGAATCACCACTGTCAACCATATTTAATAAATCAATAGAGTCAGGCAGAGTGCCAGAGTTTTGGAAAGTTGCTAATGTGATACCAGTTTTTAAGAAAGGAGATAGATCACTTGCGTCTAACTATCGACCAATTAGCCTAACGTCTATTGTGGGAAAGTTACTCGAATCTATAATAGCAAATAAAATTCGTCTTCATCTTGAAAAACATAAATTAATAATTGAGTCGCAACATGGTTTTATAAATGGCCGTTCATGTTTAACAAATTTGTTATCTTTTTATTCTAGCATTGTTGAGGCAGTTGATAGTGGTAAGGATTGCGATGTTGTATACCTTGACTTTAGCAAAGCTTTTGATACAGTGCCACATGAAAGACTGATTAAAAAGATAGAGTCTCATGGTATTGGGGGTGCTATATTAAGCTGGATTAGGGCATGGCTATACCAAAGGAAACAGAGAGTTAGTATAAATGGAATCAAGTCAGAGTGGGAAAATGTTGTAAGTGGAGTGCCTCAAGGCTCTGTCCTGGGACCTCTGTTGTTTATAATATATATAAATGATTTAGATTCAGGTTTGAGTAGCAACATTTGCAAATTTGCCGATGATACGAAAATCGGTAGGGAAATTAATTCGGAGGAGGACTCACTATCACTTCAAGTTGATCTAGATAGGGTTTTGAAATGGTCAAAGGATTGGCAGATGCAGTTTAATGCTGATAAATGTAAAGTTCTGAGGTTAGGTAATGATGATAGAGTTACAAGATACGAGCTAGATGGTGTTGTGATTGCGAAGTCGGATTGCGAAAGGGATCTGGGAGTTATGATTAGTAAGAATTTAAAACAAAAGGATCAATGCATAAATGTTCGTAATAAGGCAAATCGGACACTTGGATTTATTAATCGCAGCGTTAGTAACAAGACACCTGGTGTGGTTCTCAAGCTATATCTTGCTCTAGTTAGGCCCCATTTAGATTATGCAGTTCAGTTTTGGTCGCCATATTATAGAATGGATATAAATTCACTTGAACGTGTCCAGCGTAGGATGACTAAGTTAATTCCCCAAATTAGAAATCTTTCATATGAAGAAAGATTAACAAAGCTTAAGTTGCATTCACTGGAAAGGCGAAGAGTTAGGGGTGACATGATAGAGGTTTACAAGTGGATGAATGGACATAACCGGGGGGATATTAATAGGGTATTAAAAGTATCAACACAGGACAGAACACGAAACAATGGGTATAAATTGGATAAGTTTAGATTTAGGAAAGACTTGGGTAAATACTGGTTCAGTAACAGGGTTGTTGATTTGTGGAACCAATTGCCGCGTAACATTGTAGAGGTGGGGTCCCTCGATTGTTTCAAGCACGGGTTGGACAAGTATATGAGTGGGATTGGGTGGTTATAGAATAGGAGCTGCCTCGTATGGGCCAATAGGCCTTCTGCAGTTACCTTTGTTCTTATGTTCTTATGTTCTTATTAACTTAGTCATCCTACGCTGGACACGTTCAAGTGAATTTATATCCATTCTATAGTACGGCGACCAAAACTGAACTGCATAATCTAAATGGGGCCTAACCAGAGCAAGATATAGCTTAAGAACCACACCAGGTGTCTTGTTACTAACGCTTCGATTAATAAATCCCAGTGTCCTATTCGCCTTATTACGAACATTCATGCATTGATCCTTTTGTTTTAAATTCTTACTAATCATAACTCCCAGATCCTTTTCGCAATCCGACTTCGCAATCTCAACACCATCTAGCTCGTATCTTTAAGAACATAAGAACAAAGGTAACTGCAGAAGGCCTATTGGCCCATACGAGGCAGCTCCTATTCTATAACCACCCAATCCCACTCATATACTTGTCCAACCCGTGCTTGAAACAATCGAGGGACCCCACCTCCACAATGTTACGCGGCAATTGGTTCCACAAATCAACAACCCTGTTACTGAACCAGTATTTACCCAAGTCTTTCCTAAATCAACTTATCCAATTTATATCCATTGTTTCGTGTTCTGTCCTGTGTTGATACTTTTAATACCCTATTAATATCCCCCCGGTTATGTCCATTCATCCTTGTAAACTATTGTCACCCCTACATAAGAACATAAGAACATAAGAACAAAGGTAACTGCAGAAGGCCTATTGGCCCATACGAGGCAGCTCCTATTCTATAACCACCCAATCCCACTCATATACTTGTCCAACCCGTGCTTGAAACAATCGAGGGACCCCACCTCCACAATGTTACGCGGCAATTGGTTCCACAAATCAACAACCCTGTTACTGAACCAGTATTTACCCAAGTCTTTCCTAAATCTAAACTTATCCAATTTATATCCATTGTTTCGTGTTCTGTCCTGTGTTGATACTTTTAATACCCTATTAATATCCCCCCGGTTATGTCCATTCATCCACTTGTAAACCTCTATCATGTCACCCCTAACTCTTCGC